CATAGGAGTCCTTCTCCTTAACAAATTATTGTTATCAAACTATGGATTTAAATTCCCAATTTTTCTAACAATGTGTCACATGACAGCTTGTGCTGTTCTTAGCTATGTATCCATTGTTTTCCTCAAGATTGCACCTTTTCAGAGGATTAAATCAAGATCCCAATTTTTCAGAATTGCTACTCTCAGTATTGTCTTTTGTGGGTCTGTTGTGGGTGGCAATATTTCTTTAAGGTATCTGCCTGTTTCGTTCAATCAGGCTGTTGGTGCCACAACCCCATTTTTCACTGCATTGTTTGCTTATTTGATCACTCGAAAGCAAGAAGCTTGGATCACTTATGGTTGCCTTGTTCCTGTTGTTACTGGGGTTATAATTGCTAGTGGGGTATGTTTATAACCTACTAACTTATTTTTCTTGAATTATTTAATTGCTTGTTACTTACGAGATCTTTACACAAATACATAGCACGTATATATAGAATACCTGGTTATGCACATATTATACTTGAATTATAGATATATTATACATGTGTCAGCTATTTTATTTTAAGCGGTTTGGTGGGCAGCTATTTAGATTATTTATCTTGTTACACTTTGCGTTATCTCTAACTATGGTTGTGTAGAAAAGGAACTTTTTCTTAATTTTCCTACCTTTTTAGGTCAATCTTTCCCGATTAAAGATGATCTACACTTCTTATCAAAAGTCTGATTTTCTTTCCGAAGTCTAGATTAACTGCTTGAGGTTAGATATGAGAATTTATGGATGCTCATATCGATACCATATACCGCCTCAACAATCAGAGGTGGATATAAAAACTAAATTTGATTAAAGTTGATGCTCATATCTCAAGAGTTTGCTTTTCTTTTCTATGGAAATTATGTTACTTTCACATTCTGTTTCAATTGTCATACAGATCACTTCTTTCTTTTTTAACTGATAGTGTCTTCCCTTGATGTCTGAATTGAAGATAATAAAAGAAATTGACTTTGTACGGCATTTTCTGAGTAGAATCTGTCTTGATGACATATATACAGCGTCCACCACTAGAAAATAAATATACTTTCAGCAATTCAGAGATTCTTAATTTCTCATAATTTAGTTTAAGATTTTATTCACTAAGAAAGTGATACTACTAGTTATACTGATTTCTTTACATGGTCTTTTTGTGTTGTGTTATACTTGAAGTTTATAAAGCCTACCAAATCTTTGTCTATTGTTGTTGAAATCAGTTCTGTAACTGTAATTATGGCCAATATTTTGGCTAATGGAGTCCATCTCACATAAACATAAGCATCTTTGCAAAGTGTAGATTATGTTGACAATATTCTTTGGGACCCAAAAATATTGCATTATGTGGTGGACATCATTTGCACAAGTTGTATCTCTTCTTTTACACCTAAGAGGCCAAGGCTTTTTTGCCTATAAAAGGGAAGACAATTAGTTCATTTTAGAAAAACCAACATGACTTGTCTTCAATTCTTGTTTCTTCCTTTCTTCTTTTATTAAGAGTGTTTTGTATGAGAGTTAGTGTTGGGAAGCACTTGTGTGAACCCTTTCTTTCTTTGGAATGATCTTGTGAGGTTATTCTCTTAGGGTATTTGGGATTAATTAGAGTGTTTACTCTAATTTTGTATTCTCTTTTGTACTCTTATTGTTATAGTAAATTGCTCCTCTCCGCTTGTGGACGTATGTCACTTTGACCGAACCACGTTAAATTTGTGTCTTCTTTATCTACTTTAATTGTCGTTGTTATCAACTTCCATTGTCTTTGTTATTTCCATTATACCGTTGTTTGGCTATATTCCGCACTACCCGGGTTCCCGATCCTAACAGTAACCAAGTTGAAAAGTTTCCAGTATTTTTTGAGTGAAGAACTTGGCAACTAGTTAACATCATATATAATCCCTATTAATCAGGGAGTTATGAGAATTTGAGGAGCTTTCTTTCTTTATATGCTAATAAGAATCTTAATTAATTCGTGGCAGGGCGAGCCAAGCTTCCACCTTTATGGATTTCTAATGTGCATAGGTGCAACTGCTGCTAGAGCCTTTAAGTCTGTTCTTCAGGGTGTCCTTCTTTCTTCTGAAGGGTAAGTACTTTAATCTATTTATATCTCATTTTGTTGTTCCATAGAAGGGGAGCCTTGTCGTAACCATGTGACCAGGAGGTCACGGGTTCAAGCCGTGGAAACAGGCTCTTGCAGAAATGCAGGGTAAGACTGCGTACAATACACCCTTGTGGTCCGTACCTTTCCCGGACCCCCGCATAGCGGGAGCTTAGTGCACCGGGCTGCCCTTTCTTTTCTTTTTCTTTTTTCTGTTGTTCCATTGATACATTAGTGTAACCTGCTGTTGTTTTTCAGGGAAAAACTGAACTCAATGAATCTCCTGCTCTACATGTCACCCATTGCTGTTCTCGTGTTATTGCCTGCTACACTCGTTATGGAGCCCAACGTTATAGATGTCACTACGACACTCGCGACAGAACATAGGTTCCTTGGCTTACTTATTTTGGTTAATTCTGCAATGGCATATGGTGCCAACTTGTTGAACTTTTTGGTGACTAAGCATACCAGTGCATTGACACTCCAGGTTCGCGCTATACCTCTCTTTTCCTCCTGCCTTCTCCCTCTTTTTCCCCCTCTAATTGGTAGTGTTATGTGGCAAAAGAAAGATGCACAATGATAACTGAGGGGTATGGTGGAATGGTTGAAATCCTTTCACCCTTAATAAGAAGTGTCGGGTTCAAGCCCAGGAGTAGAGGACCTATAGCATTTGCCACTAGACCATTTCGTCAGTAACATAATTTCACCCTTAATAAGAAGTCTCGAATTCGAGCCCAGGAGTAGAGAACCTGTAGCATTGGCCGTTATAGACCATTTCGTCATTAGCATATGTCTTTGCTCTCTAACTTGCCATATGTCTTTAGACTTCATAAGAAAGATCACGCTTAGTCTCACGCCAAGGTTAATTTTCTAAATTCGTTGTTTAAACACGAGACTTCTAAATATGCTTTTTCAACTTCAACTTAAAATTTCTATAAACTTCAACCAAATATTGTCCAAACACCTACTATATTTTTCATTAATGGTTCTAAAGTTGTACCGTCGTTTTTCATGCTAATCTGCAATGTACATTGCCTTCACTTGATGTTTAACATCTTTAATTATCTGTTGCCTGCTATAGGTCCTAGGCAATGCAAAAGGAGCAGTGGCTGTTGTTATCTCCATACTTATATTCCAAAATCCAGTAACTTTTATTGGAATCGCGGGCTATACAATGACAGTGATGGGAGTTGTTGCTTATGGAGAATCCAAAAGAAGGCACAAATGAGTTGAAATCAGGCCCCTTTCTTCTTTTTCTTCAAGGTTAGATGTGGGGTAGAGTTAGGATGAAATAGAGATTTCTCCTTTGCAATTTTGTAGCACATAGACAGAGGAAATATTGGTAAAGGGAACAGAGAGGAAAATTGAGGTGCATTCTTCTGTTGTATTCTTTTTTTATCCAAAGGGTATTCTACAGATGTCTCTGATTGTTATGTTGTTACATTAAAGTAATAAAATGTCTCGTTGGTTTTCTGGTTAATTTCCCTATAAATCTTCAGCTGCTGATGAGATTTTTAGGACTGCAATTTTTGAAATACATATGGAACTACCACATCCTGTACATATTATGTGTTTTAATGTATTTGCACTCTCGAAGAAAAACATTTAATAGCCTTAATCATAAGAGTATGTTTGGCAAAAAAGTATTCCAATAACAAATTACTTATCGTTTTTCTTTAACATTGAATAAACAAATTTAGTTTATTAAACCGACTAATATTTGGAACCGGAGAGAGTGAAATTCAGGTCGCCTAATACACCGGGGTATTAAATTCCTTATGCTGCCATTGAACTCTTGTTTTCTGTGTTAGAATTCCAGTAAACAAATTTTCCGAATCTCTTGGTTAACTTGGGAGATTTTATAATTTCTATTGCAAAACCGAAATGCCAAACTTTCTGACTGCAACCGAGGCTGAGGTGTAGAGACAAATAATTTCAGGATAGTACCTAATCCAAGGCTTCTCATATGAAGAATGTATATTGTCCAAGGATTAAAGGAGTCAACTAACGTAATTGAATGTCATATGAATGGTAAGTTTTGACAAATAGAGTTATCCATGTTGGGATTAGTTACTAGTTCGAATTTGATATAAATTTATATTTTTTGGGAATTGGTGTTCCTATCTATTAATATTGTGTTGGCAAATACTTGTCAAAAAGCATTTGTAACTAATCGTGTAGGGGATTTTGGTTTATTATTAGGAATTTTAGGCCTTTATTGGATAACAAAGAGTTTCAAATTTAGGGATTTATTAGAAATATTCAACAACTTGATTTATAATAATGAAGACGATTTTATTTCAGCTCTTATACATGCTGCTACTATGGTAGGGGCGGGAATTTTTCTTGTAGCTCGGCTTCTTCCTCTTTTCAGAGTTATACCTTACATAATGTATTTGATCTCGGTTATAGGATTAATAACAATATTATTAGGAGCTACTTTAGCTCATGCTCAAAAAGACATTAAGAGAGGTTTAGCCTATTCCACAATGTTTCAATTGGGTTATATGATGTTAGCTCTAGGTATGGGGTCTTATCAAAGCGCTTTATTTCATTTGACTACTCATGTTTATTCCAAAGCATTATTATATTTAGGATCCGGATCCATTATTCATTCAATGGAAACCTTGTTGGACATTCTCCGGCTAAAAGCCGGAATATGGGTCTTATGGGAGGTTTAAGAAAACATATACTACCAATTACCAAAATCACATTTTTATTAGGTACACTTTCTCTTTGTGGTATTCCACCGTTTTTGGTCCAAAGATGAAATACCTATGCTTGAGAGATAGAAAGTACTCGATAAAATAGTCAAAGTATGTACAAACTAACATGAACACCACCATTATAGAAAAAAGTCACCAAAAAGTAACATCAGCAGCTTCACAGTACCTACTCTGAATTCCTGACACAATAAAATAAACTGATATCCATAGAGAGTTTTAAATAGACAAACGCAGCTGAATGGAGCTCAATAGCAGAAACAAGTAAAGAGGGTATGTAGAATTTTGGTAGTAAATAAAAAGGGCAGCCCGATGTACTAAGCTCCCGCTATGCGCGGGGTCCGAGGAAGGACCGGACCATAAGGGTCTATTGTATGCAGTCTTACCCTGCATTTTTGCAAGAGACTGTTTCCACGCTTGAACCCGTGACCTTCTGGTCACATGGAAGCAACTTTACCAGTTACGCCAAGGCTCCCCTTCAAATATTTGGTAGTAAATCTCAACCAAATTAAGAGATGCAGAAAAAATTCGAGCTCTACTGCTCGGGAAGAAAAACTACAGTAAACTCCGCGTTTCTCTCAATTACATGACTTGCCAGCTATTCAAACTGATATAGAACGGAAGCAAGATCCTAAGTTGCTTTGAGTTTCACATATCGTGGTAAAAAATATGCTAGGCTACTACATTTTCAAAAATCTATGATGTATATAGTTAGAAGGGCAAAATCTCATGAACCTCTTTCACAGAGTGAGATTCCGTCATGTTATATTACTGAGCTTTCTTGAAGGATCTTGATGATGACAGTAGGTACCTTCTTTCCTGTAAGAAGGCAAAAGTATCAATAATGAGAATAAATATACGTGGACTATTTTGACTTTCATCATGAACATTTCAAAAAAAAAAAAAATTCGATTAGTGGGAAAGGCACTAGCACAAAAGGGACCAAAACCTAAGTTGCTCGGACACGGGTGCAGATGTCCGACATGGGTGCAGATCTAGAGGTCGGATCCTTCGAAATGTAAATTCCTATTCGGGAATACGGATCTAGTACGGATACGGGTGCGAAGATCTGGCTAAAAATAATTCAATAAAATAAAAATATATCTCTAAATTATAAAAAAAATTGTGGAATACTTACGTTGACGTATAGCTTGAAAGTGTGAATTTATTTTTTATTCTCAAGTTGTAGATAAGTAAAGGATTGATTTGCTAGATAAGGTATATGCTATTCTCTTCAAATTTATCCTAGTTTTGGTTCTGATTTCGGGAATCAAATTGTATCTCGTCTCGAATTTTTTCTTCCGTCGTGATCAAAGTACCCAAAATTGTTTGACCATATCCGGTACGGATACCATACCACACCCATACTAGTGTCGTGTCGACACGGGTGCGGCACCTAAACTGCCGTGTCAGAGCAACTTAGACCAAAACAACTACACTTTAGTAGTGAAGGTACTTCATCTGTCACTAACTATATTGGGTAATTGCCAACCAAAAATATTTCTCATGCTTTACTATGCCATTGTTTCATTCTACTCATGTCAAATGGTTTCAAGTGAACTTGGATCAAAGTCACAAGCCTAACCAATTCATAACAATCATCATGAAAGTACATAAACGACTAGCTTCATACCTCATCTGAGCTACGCATGCTTAAAGATCTTCATGCTGAGCCAATGGAAATATATTTTCACAACAAGGATGGGAAGTGTTAAAGGAACCAGAAAGCAATAGTATCTGTAACAGGAAAAAATATCTCAACTCAAGGGTGCAAATCATCTACTTACAGCTAAAAAAGGATCATCTACTTGTACCAACAGAAAGCGTGATATTTTGGGGAATAATTCAAAGATCATGTATCCCTCACGAAAAGGGATCGAAAGAATGCATTGCATTTCTCATGAAAAGGGAAGAAGCATATTTACATGCCAACAGTTGAAACATGAGATATTCATGCTACATAGCCTTATTAAGCAGTACATATTTATTAATGATTTGATTTTAGCACAATGATTATATTAGGTTAACAACCATCACAAAATAGAATCACATCTTGTTGAATCCTCATTTCCAAATACTAGTTCCAGTCATTCACCTCCATTCACACTCATGTCATAACCATTATTACTAAAGAAGCATAATTAAGTAACTGAAGTCTCTTGTATAACTAAAGTACTTAATTAAGATAAATGAAATCAACTATGACAAAATAATCAAGCCAGGTAACACCTAAACAAAAAATGTCCGACGTCTAGGAGGGGGAATCACCAGTCTGATAATTCCAAATCAAAGGCTTTCAATTGTCTAATATAACATTGTAAAAAGTAGGATGGAAAAAAAAAGCATTTCGTTTCCACATTACTCCGATGCACATGTAGCTGGTTGGGAAGAGATCCACATAAAAAACTTAATATGTGTTCAATTTTTACTGAAACCACAGGTTTGCAAATTTTAAACTAAGCTCGAGAATTGAGTGGTATCTTACTGTAGAACTATTACTACCTTGCATCCTGAAGCAGCAAATTTTTTAAATTAAAACATTTAATCAAAACAATATTGTAAGGCAAGAACAATGCATTTCGACCAGGGCAGCACTTTCGCAGTAATCTGAACACAGAGTTCCAAAGAGAACTTCTCCAACGAACGACTTAAAGTATCTCTTCATTTATTCGATAAGGAAAAGATGAAAAGGATTCGAACACAGGACCTCACCAGTACTATGAACCCGATTAAAGTATCTCTTCATTGTTTCAAATTGGGAAATACGAAAATTGGTATACAGCAAAAATTTCACAAATGTGAAAGCAAGGTCTTCTAGAGAAGGAATTCTTGCAGAATTATCTCTAATGAAAATAGGATTCAAACTAGTTCTTCCACCACAAAATTTTCCATTATCAACATGTCAGACTCGTCAATTATACACTAAATGCAAAATTTTCTATTAAGATCTATCCGTGTGAGTATGCAAAGTTTTTGCAGCTAAGAATTTCTCAGTCAGGTGTGGGGGTCCATTTACCACCTTGCTTGTGTTCTTCCTTTTATTTTTTATTTTTTGGGGTTCTTCCTTTTATTTAAGTTTCCAAATTGGAAAAGTGAAACGTATCCCTTGATAGGGACTGTTTAAAGCAGACAGGTGATCATGCACAGAGTGCCACTTGAATCATGCAATTCAAACGCACTCGGAGTTCAGCTTTGAAAAATGAATAATAAATGTGCTCATGACGAAACCAGAAGCTCCTTGGTCCTCGGACTCCATTCAAAATTTTCCAACACCCATTTTCTCAATGAATAAGTTGCTCCAACCTGAAGGAGATTGCTGAGGTTTCCTAGAGGAATATTCTTAACATCTCTGAAAATATTGGTCATACTCCTTATCTTTTTCTATCTACGATGACATGGAGCTACCATTGCTAGATTCAGTTGAATCATACCACAACAAATTCAATTGCGTCTTTTTTTGATATACTGCACACCTGCTAGATTTCAGTTTTTTTTTCTTTTTTTCTGTGTGTATGTTAGAGTTAAGGCCTTCACAAGCCTCTTCTACCGTACTCCACAATCCTCCCCCCCC